TCGGCATCTTTTCTCTTCTCTTTTATCTCTTTGCACGACTCTGCTGCGTACTTTTTCGTCAGACCTTTGACGGAATAAAATGAATTTTTTAACTTTTTCAAATCTCTTTTTTCCCTTTCACTAATTTTATTTTGGCACAATCAGTCAGGGAAAAAAGTTTTAGTCCAGGCCTCAGGCTTTCTATAGAATAGAACTGACATGTTGAACCTTTTTTAACTTTTTTTTCCCTTCAATACTGATAGTATTTTAGTACGATCAGTCACGAAAGAAGGTTGCAGAGCAACTCGGGCCTTCAATAGGATAAAAGTGAAATATTGGACTTAAACGAATTTTTTTGATTTTCTCTCCATCAGTGGTTTTATTTTGGTACATGCAGTTAGTAAAAATATGTCATCGCAGTCTCATCTACCAGAAAAATTTTGAGACCTGATATCACAGCCATCTATTGACCACCCCGTTGTTGCTCAGCTTTCAGTTAAAACTTTGCTAGGTTCTCAGTTATCAGCTAAGCTCCATTCAGACTCTCGATAAACGGAAGGAAAGTCATACCAAAAAGCAGCTCTTTTTCATCACAGTCAGGTTTCTCTTGCCCTGTGAGATAAAAGAAAGGAAAATTCGTTAAAAAGGACGGAAAGGAAGAACAAGAACACTGATAAGGATGATTTCTGCAATGCAACCATTACTTCAGCAGAAGGTTCCCAATACAAAGAATACTCTTTACCTGAACTGTGACGTCACTATAGGAGCAAGTCCTAACGATTACAGAACAAGGCTAGCTGAAATGTTAGGCATTGACTGAGAGCTCTTTGTATTCGTTTCAAGTTGCATGGGGTGAGACTAATGACTAATGCAAGTCATACTAGATTTATTTAAATTTTCCCATAGTTTTGAAGGTTACGTTGATCATCACCCTTGAAATCAAAGTTCGACAAGTGTTTGTTTTTTCCACTTGCCTCATCAAGTATCAGCCTTTCTATTCACAGAGTTGAACCTTCTAAAATTCTCACAAGAATTCAAGAGAGTGTTGTTCGTTTGACAAATGACGTGATTAACACTCACATACTTTCAACTCGTTAGAAGGATGGTCGATAAAAGTTACAATAAACCGTTTTTGATATTTCTAATGTCATATAATCCAACCCAAACTTCTAAAACCTAACAGTGTACCTCCATTGCCGCAATACCGTGCCCTTTTGATGCAAGCACGAGGCAGCTTGTAGATGAAAAAACCGTTGCATTTCTTTATCATTATTTGCTGAGTCTTTCCACAGCACGTGTTTCCAATTGTGTAGCAAATGGTTGCTTTCCTGCTTTCTCCAAGCGCCAGATCATCAGGGTGTGGCTTGAGAAGGTACGCGGGGGACACAGCTCCACATGCAGGGGATTTCGGGCAAATTCCTCCTTTTGGATTCCTATAAGATATTTAAAGAAAGATTTATAATGATGAAATAAATTATGTGTATTTCAGGTGAAAGGTTAGCAGATATCAGATTTAATGGAGGCTACGTACAAAATTACCTTGAAATTGATGGAAACCTGAAAGTAATGGTTTTATACCTAATCGTACCTTTTTGGTACCATTCGACGGCATATCAGGTGAATTTACTCGAGCCATGGTTCGTATTCAGTTGGTGAGAGGTAATCGAGCCACAATGCCCATGGCGAGACCAAACGGGCCTGATATCCTATCGAAGCTACCGAAAAGGTACAATTAGTTATTTCCCGTACTCAAATGCGGCCAAGTGAGCATGATATCGTAACCATATCAGGTCAGTGACTTGATATCGCAAGATATCAGGACAGTAGACTCGGCTTCTGATTGGCTAATTGCGAAATTGGAACGGTAAATTAAGATAAAAAAACGCCAAAGAGATAGTAATAAACCATAAAAGAACTAGGATGGTGAAGGATGGAGAAGATTAACACGGATTACAAACGACGAGCTTTTCAAAATGCGCAAACCATGACTCGGCGTAGCTCCTTTAAGTGTGGTGTGATTCGGAGCCGAAGATGAATGTAGCCTGTCAGAGTAGACGCCATTTACGGCTATTGTTATATACGTAGAACAAAAATCGAAAAAGG